TTTACCAGATATATTTGTCAGTAATTAGGGCTTCATCTTTCACTGATGCTTATGTTTCAGATCTCTATCTGTGTGTGTATTTCATATATGTGGGTGTGTGTTTCATACACACACACATATATACAGTATATACACAGAGAGAGAGAGAGAAAGAGAGAGAGACTGAGTGTATTGGAAGAATAAAGCTGAAACTACCTTGTGCTTTGTGGAGGTTGGGATTAATTTCAATACTGACTGAAATCTCTAACCAGACACATTCCTCTCCTGGCCAGGTCTGGATTAGCATAGTGGAAAGAGCCAAGTACAATAAACAAAACATTTTCCCAACTGGGCAGTGCTTAAGGGGAAAAATCAGAAGGGAATAGACGGGTGGTAAAAGATAAAATGATAAAAATTCCCTTGCATCGAGCTTGATTCCAGATAAGCATATGGCACATCTATATGGCTTTCTAGGCAACAATATGGGAGTAGTTTGCCATTTCTACCTTGTGGGTTGTTTTTTTTAAACTGCCCAGCGTAGCCTTTAGCTCTTGGATTTCCCAGTGATCTCTCATCTAAGTACTAGCCATATCGATTCTTGCTTAGCTTTTTTGAGATAAGCCAAGGTTGGCTAGATGCTGCCACCTTCTGCTAAATTCTGTATTATGAGATTGGTCAGGTGTTGCCACTGGGAGAAGTAAATTAGAAGAGGGAAAGGAAGGGAGGGAAGAGGAAGGGAAGGAAGAGGGAAAGAGAGAAACAGGAAAAAAGAAGGAAGTAGAACAGAGCAAAGGTTAATGAAAGTGTTTAGCACCAAGATGATCAATGAGAGAAGGCAAGTTGTAGGAAAGAGGAATGCAGAAAAAGGCCAGAAGATGGTCTAAGGTCTAAAGTTAGAGACAACAAGGAGGAATAAACCACTGAACTCTTAGAATCTTCCATTTCACAAGCTTTGTGGAGCAGAAGCAGAGTATCTTCCTCAGATAGCCATATTCTGTTCAGATGTACTGGCACAGCTAAAGATAAGCTGGCCCATGGGTGAAAGGAAGAGAAACCATCAAAAGAGCTGTGGGACAGAAGCAGAGGAAAAGCTACCTTGTGATATCTATGGTCTTAAGATTCCCAGACTTGGCATCTAAATGTCCTTACTTTTTGGGATTTGCAATATTCAGACTCTTAGATGCTAAAGATCAACACCAAACTCTCAGTAAGTTAATTACAACAGCATCAGTTGCCTTCTTAAAGAGAAGAGAATTAGAGTGAGAGAAGAGGTGGCCATATTGTGATTAAACAAACCATTTTGCTGGATTTCCTCCAGCAGCATCTACACATAAGGAAGGCTGTTGATAGAAAAGGAGTGACATTTTGAAAAGAATGAAAGTGATGGCATTTTTGCCCCCAAACCTATCTGATACTAGTAGAATGAATTTATACTATTACAGCAATTTGAGGGTAAATCTCCAAAAGAAAGAATAGCTCATACAGAGGATTCTAGATTCTGTATTTGTTCAGTAGATATCTCAGACAAAACCAGATGTAACTAATAAATAAGATAAATGCACCAAGACAAAGTAGTACCATAAATTAATTTTAGATAAATGGAAATAATTGCCTGTATGTGGTGAAACAATCTGGATTGAATTATCGGAGTATGTGATGTCTCGAGTGTATGTTTTAACAACATTTTCTCATCAATCTGAATCTGAGCTAATGTTTTGACTTCTTATTAAAAAAAAAAAACAAGAATCTACTTTCCTCTATTTTAATTATAAAGAGCAACTGTTCATAACATTCTTTTACCCAGGCGCTGGGTTGCTACAGCCTAGAATAAAATCCTGAGGTTTCAAGGGCATCTTTTTGTAGAGGCAAATGCATCTGAATGTGGCTAGATTCTTGATTATTCTTATGTCTTAGGTCTCTAAGTTTCTGCCCTTGGCTGGTACTCTTCTTACCCTAATTGCTCTTTCAATATTTGCTTACAGAAGAATGCTTCCCCTTCCCCTTCCCTTTACCCATTATCCCTTTATTCATCATACGTACATGATGCTCTCTTGCTTCCTCCATGTATACTGTCCTGGCGGTATCAACAATTCCCTTAGCTATCTATGCTGTTTATATAGTATGCTGAAAGCACCAACATCTAAATCTCCACCTTCTCTTTCACTCCTCGTCAAATCCCACATCTTTAATAGCTTCTCTGGTATTATCTGAAGACAAACAGATGCAAACTCAGGGTTCTTAGTTTTCTTCTCAAGACATAATCTCATGCACTTTCTTAGCCAGTGAATATATTACCACGTACCCCCTCCATCAGGTACAATATCTTGATTTCCTCTTTGATTATTCTCTGTTCTTTATCTGCCCACTGTAATTCTGTTGGTTACTGTAATGAATGGGCAGCTCTATATTCACTGACAGTCAGACGGATCTGAGATTCATACCATATTCACTCATCTCAGACATGCAGCCTACTTCTGCAGAAAGGGCAGATGCAGCCCTCACATACAAAATCATATTACCCTAAGCACCTCCCTTTTCGCTAAAAGAAAAAGAGTATTTGACTTTTGAAAACAAAGAAGTTGGGAAGTGAGGCTGAGAAGAGAAACAGGGTACCTTCCATCTCCACAGCAGCCTCGGAATTAACTGATTGGAATCCTCAGGGATCTGGGAAGACAGTCCAGGAAGAACAGAGACAGAGAGAAACCTGTTTCGGGGGGGGGGGGGGGTCTTTTTTTGAAAGGGAAGTTTAAAAATTTTAAGGTGGAACTATTTGGTAAGGATACTTTTAATCTGAGTGTGGATGTTTAAGCTTTATTCTCTCTGTTATTATGTTCTCTGTACATTTCAGTAAACTTTTTACTGATTTTGGGATTTTTTTTACAATAGGTTTCCTCTAGACTAGAGGCAAACCAATATCATCTTGTGTCTGCCCAGAATCTTGTATTGTCTTTTATGTTGTCCTGTTTTAGCAGCTCTGTATTTTTAGCAGCTCTGTATTTTATCTGCTCTACCACTGAATGTTTTGCATGTGACTAATGAAGCTTAAAAAAGGAATTTTTATATTTCCTCTTTTTCTTAAAAAAAAACAAAACCAAACGAAGTTTGATTCTATTTATACCTTGTGAGATTGATCTATTTCCCAAAGAAGGAAGGGGTGGATTTGCCTTGTCACAAGTCTTCCTGCTATAGGCCAAGGGCAGCACTACTGAACTTAGTTCATTTATATCATCTTTTTTCCTAATTCGCCAGTATCAGGGGGAGGACACCAGGTAAACACATCCCCTTGGCAGTTTACACCAAGACTGGAGGCAGTGCTAGGGCATATCAACTCAAAAAGCTTATGGGAGAGGAGGCCGAGACTTCCAACCTTTTCTTACGGTTATCAGACTTTATTGTTTCTCTATCTAGTCTAGGAAAACTCTTTTCTATAACCTGGTCACCTATCTCAAGTTCTGCAAAGTTCTTCTCTATTGTCCTCCATGATTTAATTTTCTGTTTAAAACAATTATGCTGCTTAAAATTCGTTCATGGACATCTGTCCAACGGTAATCCCTGCACAGCTTTTCTCTTCTTTAACTCTACGCATGGGAATCCCAGCACAATAGTTGTCCTTTACATCTGAAATTGTTTTCCAGATCATCTTCATGTCCTAATATAGTAATGCAACCAAGCCAAAATGTATTTATGCAAGTAATTTTCTCCAGTTACTTATTTTTCCTTCTTCATCTGTTGTTTTTATCTTTTAAAATGTGAGTCTCTTGTTCTTTCTAAAGCAATTAACAGTGGAAATTCTACAAGTCACTGAATGGTTGGTTCAGATATAGGCTAACTAGTTTAAACCATGTGTCTGAGGAAATAAGAAAGGAAGCAGTGAAAGTCGAGTGTTGTTCGGTGCCTTCAATGTCAATTTGAGCTGAGATTTTTGCTCCGCAGGAAATGTGATAGTGACTTATTACACAGTTTTTCAAACTGTGTTCTACACAACCCTGGGATTCCACAAAAACTTGATGGAGTTTCATGAAAGATGAAGGGCAAGAAAAAAAGAAGAAAAAAAATCACACAAAAGTAGCCAATTTTCAATCACTAGAGCTTTGCTTCTTGAACAGGGGCTCTGGGAAACGTTTTTATCTAACACATTTCTGCAGTCTGAAAAAGTTTGAAAACCCGACTTGGTGCACTATCGAAATAATTTTCTTTTGTTTGCCAACAGACTACTGAGAAATAATTCTTTTCTTATGTTAAGTGGCTAAAGTACAAGAATGAACAACTGATTAACAGGCTTAGATCATTAGGTATAACCACTGAATTCTCATTCTGCTTAATTTAAGATGGGAGCCCATCACATTAAAAACAAATATACACAAGGGAAGCCAAAATGCCTGAGAGATTCAGGAAATTCCCAAAAAATCTCTCTCTGTTTCTTGCTTAGTTTTTGTAAATTAACACACACACACATGCGCACATTATTAATAAAGATCTAGAAAGTGTAGATGGTATATATGCAAAAACACAGTATTTACAAACCAGGTGTGCTTTCCTTAGATTGTTGTTTGACCTTAACTCAATATGGCCTTTAAAAGCAGATTTTTTTCATCTAGACCAGTATTTGGAGCAGATAGAAAGATTAATGTCACCCACTGTGCTACATCAGAATTCATGGTTTATAAACTTACAATGAGTGGATTCACAGAACACATTAGATCAAAATCAAATAAGCAACAGGGTTGCTTAGCACGAGGTATGAACATACCCATTTCCTGCCAATGGGTTTAACTGCCACCCTGCTATAAAGCTGTGGTGAATTATATTCATTGACAGGAAATTGTGTTGAACTTGTAGTAAAACTGGCCAATGTGGAACTAAAATCCCCACAGACAAACAGTTTAATCCAACCCCATTAAAGAATGTCCAGCGGCTGTTACGGTTGCCCAAACTATCCACCCACACAACCGACACAGCAGTGTTGCCTGATTAAAAGCAAGGACAACATGAACAAGGAGAGTAGAACAACAACAACTTACCAACTGTGATGCTTCCTGTTTTAGTCTCCAAGGTAATATCACCTGCAATGAAATTGTAAGAGCAGTTGGCACCTTAAAATGTGAGTGTCATTTCATACAGTGCAATTCATATGAGAGCATAAGCAAGAAACCAAAGGGGTATAAAATCAGCTATGAATTGAATGAGAGGTTCTTATGTATAGTATGTACACACAAACAGAATTAAACAGTCCATATGACTGGATTTACAGAAATATAGATGAAAATAACAAATAAGGGTTCTCCTGACAGTTTCCCCGCTGGAGGTTAGGGGGACGAGGACCAGATGGCAGGCCTTTTCAATTATGCCTCCTGCCCCAACTTTAAAGCTCTTTATGCCCTGCGATCCATGTAGCCCCTTCCCTTGTGGCACTTTGAAAAGCAGTCAAAACAGCCCTTTTCCAAAGAGCTTTTTAACTCAAATTGATTACTAGAGGGGTTCATTGAGGGAGGCAGGGGGAGTGTTTAGAATTCATATACTGTGCGCTGTTTTATATTTTTAACTCTCTTGTAACCCACCCAGAGTCTTGTAATTGGGGTGGGCTCTAAAACTGTAAATAAAAAACAAATAATGCAGCCACAGAAATCAGCTTTATATTAAAACCAAACGTATCTGAAAGCCTTCAGTTAGAGAAGCACCAGAAATTATTACTTTCTTGTTTGGACTAAAAAACAATTTGGCATTGGGAAAAATTACAGCAATTATAGTGCCATTACAAATAAATGACAAAGATGCATCTTCCAGGCACTGCCAAACTTATTTTCCATACTGTATTGCAGGGATACAGTGCTGTTTTTATCACACCATAGCTTCATTTTATTTTATTAAACTGTTGTTTTTTTGCACTGCTGTTTCCTTGAAGAATAAGAGCCAGTCCGTGGTTTGCTTGGCAGATTCCAGGTAGAATTTGGCTCGAAACTAAACCTGGGGAGAGTGGTGAGAAAGGAAGTGCAAACTAACTCTGGCCCTTCTCAATAAACTTTCCAAAATGTAGTGTTCCTCTGTTGGATAAAGCTCTGCACGTCACAGCAAATCTAATTAGGACCACATGAAGCACACTAATGTATAGCCATTCCATCTAATCAGGGGTATCCATGGGGGGAGAAAGAATAAAAAAAGTCAAGAAGATGGCCACAACCATATGATCAAAACCTTGCCTTTGTTACACACACGATGTGTGTGTTGCACATAAAAAGAGAAGGCGTCAATCTTGTAGTTCTGGCTGTCATCTTGACTTTCTTGACTCCTCTCCCCCATGAATGCCCTTGTGCCTCCTAGAACAAAGCTAATTTAGCACGAAACTCTGCTTGGGGAGAAGCAACTCTGTCCTTCCAGCCCCCAGTTGCTCTCCTGAGTTATGGCCTTGAGAACATTGGAGAAAGGACAGGGAAGAGGCTTGTGATTATATTTATCAATTCAATGGAATATTAATATATCCCAGTTAACATGAATCTTACACAGCATCGAATAAGTGTTGACTTTGGGTTTATTTATTTATTTATTTGGGTTTTGCCTGCCACAATTAGTTGAGTCTTGGAAGGCTATATTCTGTAATTTTGCAATGAAACGACCATGGTACAATCGAAAGTCAATGGTCAATAATTAAAAATAAATATAAAAAAAAAATCCAAAGACATAAATGCTAAGAAGAAAACCGTTTGCGTTTTTCAGCAGGCAGACCAAAGAAAGGTTATAGTTTGGAGTGTAATATCTCATATGCCATTGTGTCCTGAATCTTGTCTTACCAGGAGCCAAGCAATAAACTGGTCAACTCCCTGTTCTGCTTGAATGGACAACCTCAAAATTTCATCTGTCGGCTGCTTAGAGACATAAATGGATTCATGGGAAAGGGGAGACAGACTTCTTACTGAATGTACCCATTTACTTTGTTTGGTCAACCCTACGAATAACCCTAAGTCTGCCTACACATGCAATTCCTTCATGAAATCTGGTAAATAAAGTAGGAAGCCCTCAATTAACTATCATTTTTGTGTTGTTATATATCAATCATGTATAGCTCTGGAACTATTGCTCCAAAAAGCAGCAATCATTCTTATGTTTAAGAAAAACAACTTCATTTGTTATAAATTTTAATTGTATATCTATTTATTGTTTTAATATGTTGTGAGCCGCCCAGAGTCCCCCATTGGGGGGAGATGGGCAGGGACAAGTTAAATAAATAAATAAATAAACAAACAAACAAACAAACAAACAAATAAATAAATAAATTTCATAGCAAATACTTATGTATATTACACTGCTTGGAGCCCTCTCCAGAACATTATGCTCTTCCTAATAGGAACCAATTAACTTTTGCAACCAACTTTAGCCAGTTTCAATTAAAATAAATAATCAACAAACTGGGTAGCAGTAAACTTGTTATAAACTGCAGTTTAATGTTCTGGTTAGTTCCAACCATGTTCACTGATATCTTGATTCATATGAACTGGGAAACAATCGTGAATTGAAGAGTTCCTGGCTGGCTTGCTGATAAACCAGCAGAATCCGGGAGTTGTACTGCAATCAAACTGTCATTCACAGCTTGGCCTACTACATTAAGATTCAGTATTGCTTAACTATAACCCCCAGCATCCCCCAACATCCCTGGGGAGTGCTAGGAGATGCTGGGAGGTATAGTCCAGCAACTTCCAGACTGCCACAGGTTGCTTTTCCCTGAGCTAAAATATTTTGCAAAGTTCCGTATACCAAATGTTTCCTTATGCATATAATAACCTTTTTGCACAAACTAGCTTATTAACATTAATTAAAATATTAGTTCTACCCTTATTTTTGTTTTATCATAGCAACTCCTTATTGCTATTCTTTGCTGTATTGTGATCACTCCCAAACTCTAGCTAAGTTTTATAATTCATTTATTTATTGGATTGCTACTCTTCCTAAGGCATGGTGCTCAAACTGGCTAAAAATAATTAACAAGAGCAAAATAATTGAAAGCACAGATAATAAAACCACATGGCACAAGTATTGGAAATAAAGCAATTATATAATTAGAACCTATTATTTCAATGGCTAAATTAAAAAGAATCTGTTTTACATTCTTATTTTCAAATAAAATTTGCTGTCACTTTTAGTTTATAACTGCAAGGAAAGATAAATGTTTTAGGATCAACAAAGCCTAGCAAAATCAAATCAGCTGAAGCAAACTCAACATGTCATTTTGAAGATGAACTTTTATAAAAATTGTGTGGTCATATAACTGTTCCACCAATAACAGGATATAATGGACTCTATAATTTTCATCCTGTCTTAAATGTAAATACACATTATCTTTTGATTTGCCACTACTGCTGACATCCAGCAAATGCAAAGTTGAGGCAACGGTCATGCATTATTGATTCATCCCTATTTTCTGTTCTTCACGAACAATAATTGGAACCATTTTTTGGCACGTCTACATTTTACTGCTCTGTAAAGATTAAGATATACTGTAAGTCAAAGCTGTCCTTCTCTATGGAAGCCAGCATACTCAAGAGTCTCTTTCTTGAGAAAGCTATTTGTTTACTTTATAGTTTTTGTACTCTGCCTCAATCTGTAGACCCTCAACTGTAGTGATATCTAGGTAGCCAGTTGAAATTTAGCATAATATGATCCTACATATCTCTTACCTATATTGTGTTTTTGCCAGTTAGTTGACTATATGGCAGAGAAGGGGGACTTAGCCATCCAGTTGTTGGTGGTTATACAATTCAAATCACCCTAGTCCATTGGCCACAATCACAGGGTCAGACAGATGCTGGATTCCAAAAGCATCTGAACAGCCAACGCCCACTATTCCTAATGTACAAATTGCTAATCAGCTTACTTGGATTCATCCAAATGGTGCAACTCACTTTACTAAATGGACATAAGTTTGTCATCATAAGCCATGTTTCAAGGAACAAGTTCCACTGAAGTCACCAGAACATCTTTCAACAGCAATGCATTTATGATGGAACTATAAACCTCAAAAGGAATGTTCTTAACTGCACCAGATGAACAGGATGGTTCAAGACTTAGTTCTTTATGCCACAGGGTTTCCAGTCATGATTTTACGACCAAAAAATCCAGTAATTTAAGGTTCCAAAAGATGGATTAAAAAGAAATTAAGCAAGCCTTCCAAATATGTTCCCAAACATGAACACACCAGCTGCAATAAGTTACTGTATATTATCTCTATATTGAAGTTTTTTCATGATAGATTTGCACCACTTTAATTTCCCATGAAACATAAATCATCAACACAGCCTTCTACATGTATGCTCAAAAATAAGTCACATTCAGTTACTCTCAAACATGTGGGAGGTACATCTCAATCTGACGTTTCTAGAACATTGTGTAGCAAAAAGCTCCAGTCAGAATAATGGTATTGAATGTTCAAATTATCAATAAACTGGCTGTAACTCTAGCTTTTTGCTGTACCCTGATATACAAGTATGTGTTTTTACAGGGAGGGTGTGAGAACAGAATACTTTATGTTTGCCTGAAAATATTCAAAACGGCCTTTTATGGACAGCCAAATTTATATACAAACTCGACTGTCTACATTAAAAACCTATCAGTTAAAAATTTTGAATGAGACCCAGTAAACCAACCTCATGGTTCAGCATTGCTATTACACATTCCTTGGACCTTAATTTAAAAAAATAAAGTTGTATTTATTTATTCAAGTCTGTGTGTGTGCCCAGTCCTCCTGGCTCTTTTCTAATAGTTGGCATAACAGCCAGAGTTTAAGCCAGCATCTGTCCATTACAAAAGAAAATGAAATGGTTTTATATGCAGGGATGGGGTGGGGAGAGAAGGAAGAATAAAAACTTCTGAAGAGAAGAGCTGGAAAAAAAATGAGGGATTATTGTAATGCTGAAATTCTGACGATTGATGGATAATCTTACTGTTCAGTACTAACTTCTGCTCTGAATTATACTGACAGTTATCCAAGCCCACAGAAAATCTGCAGACCAGGAGTCTGGATGAGTTACAGCTAGATGGCCTGCACACCCACATCCCAACCACCAATATAGAAAATACGGGATATTCACATCAGTCAGCGCCTTCAAAAGCTAGATGGGAATCCCTGGACCCGGAACACAGGGCACTCTACCAAGAGTGGGATGGAAGCTGGCAGTGGAATGACTGGACTTCTGTCTCAACCATCCCAAACTCCAGGGAAGCACCTCCAACCAAATCACTATATCCCACAAAGCACCCTAATGATAATTTCTACCAAGAATAACGAAGCTACTATTCTCGGCAGTGATTCAGATCCAACTCTCCTGTGTGACAGAGCTTTAATTTCCTTCCCAAACTGACAGTGGGAAAGGGTACATACCAGCATGAGAAGCGCATTGTTTCTGTTGCCAAAATGTTGCTACTCATTACAGCAATGGCCCCTCTGAAGTAGCATTCACACATTGCTCTAGCAATGTGGAAAAAGGACAGATCTTGAAGTCCTTAGCCTGCATCTAGGAATGATCCACACCGTAAACAGCACGCGGCCGATGTCATCCAGCATATTCTTCTGTGTCTGTCTGTTGTGGGTCATTTGGTTTGCGTCTAGTGGATCTTAGTATTGCTAGATCTTCCTCCACACGTTTCAACCAAATTGTCTTTAGAACTGATCGCTGTAATTTCCACCCCATTAGGGTGTGATTTCCAGAGCAATCGATAAGGAGGTTGGCATGAGGCCATGTGGTAGATGTGCCCAAAGCACTGCCTTTGCTTCTGAAGTTCCCCAGCTACCATAGGCTGGTTGCGGCACCATCCTTTACTACATTTTGTATCTTGTCACAGATTGAAATCCCTAATATTCAGCACAGATAGTGCATTTGGAAAACTTCCCAGTTTTTTCCAATCATTCCGAAGAGAGGTCTAAGATTGTGCACCGTGCAGCAGAAAATGGGTTACATTTACAGAACAAAAGGATGTTATTGACTCGGATCTCCCTTACGATAATAACTTATTTATATAGTATTTTATTGGGGCTGTTAACTACACACACACACACACACACACACATATATATATATATGTGTGTGTGTGTGTGTGTGCGCGTGCACACGCGCATGTTACTTTTAGGCAAAAAGGCTACATTGTATTGATTTAAAGTCATTATTATAAAGATTGCTCTTACAATTGTTTTTAATTTGAATATTAAAAAGTCTCCAGGCTGATCTGAGCTCCCAAAATGTATAACTTTCATAAACATGTCCATACGGTTTTCTTGGCTGGGGAATTCTGGGAGTTGAAGTCTACTCTTCTTAAAGTTGCCAAGGTTGAGGAACCTTGCCTTAAAGATCTTCCATCCAGATACTAATCAGTGACCATGCTTGGCTTCTGAATTCAGACAAGATCAACCAGATACTACCACCTACTAAGTCAGTTTGCAAATAGTTTAGTCCAAGATGTGCCAGAATGTGATGAATTAGAGTTAACAACTAAGGATGCTTTAACTGAAACATGAATGGGACTATTCAAGTTCATTGTAAAAATCAGGCTGGAGTCTGCCATTCATAGCAAGCCATATCTCATCACGCACACAGCCAGAGAGTGACAGCCAGAAATAGGGTGGTAGCTTACTGATTTCAGCCAGGCATTATGAATCCTCTTTTAGGCAAGAGCATAACAGAGATTCACAAAACTGGAACTCCAACCACCTTGGTCCAGGAGGACAAGTGATGCAGCCAACCGGCTAATCTAAGCACATCTTGGTTTGGTCACTACCTGGATGGGAAACTGCCTAGAACCCCCCCGCCCCATATACCTTGAATTCTATGGTGAAAAGTCAGCAGCACATAAGTGGACTACATAGAGATTGCATCAATATTCTGACCATAGAGTCAGTCACAAGTGAAGTGACCCATAGCCCTAGTAGTAAATACAATGGTACCTCGGGATACGAACTTAATCCGTTCCGTGACTCTGGGCGTATCCTGAGTTGGTCGTAACC